GGTCCATCGCGCTTTGAATAAACACTTGTGAAAGATAGGAAGATGAAGATGAAAGCATCGGGAGAGGAAACGCAGATTGGAAGAAAGATGACAGAATAGTAATGGGACGGGATGTTCCCATCATTATCTTAGCTCCAAACTCTTTGGTCTATATTGGTTTATTTGCTTATTAAACTTTCTAACTTTGTTTTCTGACATGGGCCTCTTTAACACATAAAAACTGTGTTATGTTGCAGCTTCAGATAGCAACCCCTCTAAAATAATCCATATTAATCTTCCTGTGACCCACCTGGAGGTCACGACCCAATCTTAGAACAACTTTGCTTTAGGGCTCACACTGATTTTAGGGGCCAATAACATCAGAAAAGCTAAATTGGGAAACTGTCCTCTGTAGTACAGGGTCCTGTCAACAAAAGAAATACATCTCTTCTTTTAGCAGTTAATCAAACAATCAGAATGTCTCCACACAACATGTTTTATCCATGAAGATGCAAGTAAATGACCAAGAAAATGTTACAATCACGGGTGTAAAGCAACAAATAAAGTCTAAAATCACAGAAACAAAGACGATGAAGGCATAGATAAGGTCAAGGACGTGATGTAGTCCAGTGGCCCAGACCTGTCCACCTGTGTCTGATGCTGTCCAGTCCTATGATTAATGACCACTGAACCTCTGCTCTATTGACACTGGTCCACTTTTCCCCAGTGATACTCTGCAGCACCTCAGGGCCTCGCTGAGGCTTCAGTAGTGTACAGATCTCCTCGGACATCCTACAAATTAAACATGTTATGAAAGGCATCAGAGCTAAAGTGTTCCCTTTTTTCATTGAACTAATGGTTCCAGGTGTTTTATGATGTGCTTACATGTATGTTTTTGTTGTGATGACACTTTATAACAGCTAATTCTACTGTCTGCTGATTACAATCATCTCTGTGGCTGTAGTGGGAAGTTCTTTAGGTACTTGTACTTTACATGAGTATTGTCATATTATACTAGTATACTCCAACACATTTCTGAAGGAAATATTGTATTTTGTGTAAATATAGCACTACATTTATCTGACAGCTATCTATTATTGTCTATATTTTATTTAGCAGATTTTACAGATTCTGTTTCGTTCATATCAGCTTCTGAAACATGATGCAAGATAAGAAGAAGATCTTTAACACTTAAATCAAAGTTTTATTTTCTTACAAAATGCAATGTGATAGTTTTAATATACTCAATGTATATAAACTTATTGTTTTTTAAATCTACTTTTCATAATTGTAGTGCAATAACCAACTATGTAATCTCTTGTTTCAAGATGCAGACACTTTTTTAAAACATCTTATAAACAACTTGATTTAAAATTATGATAAAAATGATAAAAATATTCTCACATACAGTAGTCGTAGTTGGTGTTGCCAAGGACTCGAATGCAGACAATGGGAGTCAGGTGACTGGAGCAGGTTGGGAATCTGATGGACAGGTAGAGAATGGTAATGAACAGGTTTGAAAGAGAAGTAAAGTCCAAAGTGACACATAGATACCAGCTATCCCAAAACCAAACCATTAGCAGTTTAATTTATTACTCAGTATCTTTAAACTCTATCTACTGGCAGAGATTTAAAAAACACTGACAGACAGCACCTCATTCAGGATGTGTTCTAGCATATATGAACTGCAGACACTTTACACATGTCTACAACTGATTGCAGTTTGGGTTTCTGATTTTAAAAATGACAGGTGAAAACCTTGTATTTCAAGCTGGTCATGCATTTGAAACTTCAAGCTTTTATCGTAGATGTTAAATGAAATCAAACTCAGAATCGGGAAGTTATTCCCTGAACTCCATAAATATACTATATTTGTGTGGATTTCCCAAAATGCTTAATATATTCTATTTCATTTTGCAGCTGTTTTAGAAGCTCATTTGTTTGTTTGTCACCGTCAATGTTGCATTTTTTCCTGCAGGTACCTTTTTTCTGAGTGTTAAATAAATGAAAGCACTACTCTCTGAAACTGCCGCAGTGATTGAACAATATGTTTCAAATTTAGCAGAAGGAGATCACAGTAACTCACACCATAAGTCTGCGCTGACTTTGAGCTGAAACCTTTACCTCTACATCTCTGCACATCACGCTTTAATACAACACACTCTTAAAAGGCATAGCCCGAGGACCACAGGCCATTATGTATCTTAAAAAGAGGGGCATGGTGAGCGGCCAGGTTATGCTCCTCTATTCTTCTTATTCTTCCCTCACCAGAGCGGTCGCTGTCAGTAGGAGATGGCAGGACAATGGAGGTGATCTCTCTGATCTCAGTGCTTCTATTGTGGCCCGTCATATTATTAATGTTCATCTTTGAGAAAAGCCACGGCCTCAGCCTCGCTGCTTCTGCATCGCTCTGTCATTTTCTCTCTGCTGGACTTTCTCTCTTCTCTCTGTCGTACTTTCATCTCCACGCAGCTCTGCCATCTCCATGCGGTATTCTCTCTGTCAAACACACATGCACACACACAAATCACCAAAGGAAATGAAAGTCTTTATCCCGGTCAGTTCCTGAAAAAAGACCCCTTTTTTACAAGCCTCATTAATCAGTTGTTATAATGCAAATATGTCATCTTTATAGACATATCAGAGGGACACTGATATCAACAATAATTTGTAGAACTGTTGATGCGCAGAGAAGTACAGTTTGCTTTAAATTCCTTCCCAATGCGCCTTTTTCTTTCAAACCTTCATTCAGACATACCCACTCATTCCCACAATGTCTTTGTACTCCTACAATTGTGTAAAAATAGGAACACTTTGAAGGTATGTTGCCCACTCTCCTTTCAAAACACACAAGCGAGAAAAGCCACGGTAGCCGTCGTTCATTTATCACCGGGGCCGTGGGCTGCTCATGCCTTGCTGTGCCGTGCCTGGGGTCAGGCTTCCTTCACTGTGCACTGGGAGTAATTATTAACCTACTGGGATTGTCCTGCAGTCCTCTGGTCATCTGGGACTGCTGAGTGTCAATCTGCAAAGGTCATGACAAGGCAACACGGTGATGAAGAAGGAGCCGGAGAGACTGACCGATGAATTAAAATGGAAAATTAGACCACTTTCATAACAAGAGGCGTGAATCATGGATTACACAGGTCTTTTCTCTGTGCAAACATTTAAAGGATAGTCAGGTTATATTTTTCTTATTGTGAAGGATATAAACAGACCGGTGCAGAGGTGTGGATGTCGACGTTTTGGAGTTGTTCAACTGTATTTTAGAATTTGTGCTGACCAACAGAAGTAAAGAACGAGTTGTGTAACTTATTTATTTTGCTGATGAGTTATTAGTAAAGTAACTTTCTTACTTTTTCACTGGCTAATATATAGTGCTGCCCATTCTTAGTCGATTACTCCACTATTTAAACATTAAAACTAGCAGAGGTAGCGATATTTCCTTAGACTATAGCTCAATTAAATTTGTCTATGATCGAAATGTGTCATCCATCTGAAATGAATATAAATTAATCGATTAGTCGATTGACAGAAAATTAATCGGCAATTATTTTGAAGTAATTTTTCATGCCTATCAAAGCTCATCAATTGTGATGATTTGAGATAACAAGAAAGTTAAAGATGTCAACCTGGGCTTTAGATAATGATGAGAGGCATTTGTTTCTCAATGTTTTAAAGGCAAAACGATTGAGAATAAAATCTGCAGATTAATTGCTTATGAATATAATCTTTAGTTGTTCCAAACACATTTAAATGATCCAAATCTAATGAATTAACCATCTTAAAAACTTTGTTCATTGTTATCAGTTATATATTCAAGTTTACTTTACCAAACATTTTAAAATGTCATTTGAAGGTTCGTGTGAACTTAATCTTTTTCAATAGTTTCTGCTGGTCCCTAATCACCCAGCTATACCCCCTGTGTGTGATATAACCTGGGAAAAAGTGCTTCTTTTTTTTTTAAATCATGGGAACTAGAGCAGGGTGTGGACGTCCTCTACATAAAACCCACCACCTCAAACTGAAGGTAATTTACGCTGCTGCTGTGGCATTGTTGCCTACAGAGCCATTGTGAGGCAGTGCACAACACATCTTCTAAAGATATTTGCGTTTTGTGGAGAATAAATTGTGCTGTTCGTCTGCGGTCCAGCTCTATATCATATTCGGCTGGCTTGTCGGTGCCAGTGGGGTGGTGAATGGGCCGCCAGAGGCCCAGCCACTAGCGGGTGGTCTGACACAGAAAGGTTAAATATGGTTCAGCCACGGACGCTCTCAAAGAGCCTTGCTGTTAAAAAAAGAAGTTATGTGGGTTGTATGTCTTCATGCAGTCAGGAAATTGACAATACTGGCGCAGTGAGGCACAAGGCTGTCCCAGGCCTGAACTTCATGCTTGACCGTCCAATTGGAAAAAAGAGTCACAACATCACTTGTTTCTGGTGGATTTATTGACGTCTCATCAAAGCCCTGGCTAGACGAGAGGTGTAAAGTCAACACAATGACCATGCGTGTATAATTCTTATATTCAAGTTCTTTGAACTCAAAACTCTTTAGTGACAAGAAAATAGAGATAAACAAAGATGCTGCAGTTAGAGAAAATAAATGGTTAAAACATTGACCTAGTACAAGCCTTACATGCCTTAGATAGTAGGAGAAACACAGGATTATGGCCCTGCTCACACACTACTAAAGTGATCTATTGCCCTGCTTGTATGGTTAATTGATCGTTTATTTCGGCTTTGTGTTAAAGGGTAAGTTTACTCAAATTTCAGGAAAGCATATCTTTGCCTGAGAACATTTCATAGGGACGGTTTCTTTAAGTTTAACCCTTTTAACTAATCACAGTTTGTAAAATGAAGAATTTCAGACTGTGATGGAGGCCAGTTTCCATCAGTCCCTGCACAGAAAGGTTCAAATGTGTAGAAAGAATCACTTTGGGAGTGAAACACGGTTTTTGTGAGAGTGCAGACACGTTGAGGGGCACTCTCTCCACTTGAGGGCAGGGCTGATTTTAAGAGGAGCTATTCTTTAATCTCCCAGAGGCAGGTCAGCGGCAAGTTGTTCATCTTCTCCTTGAACACGTTGACAAAATGTTCATTCTGGGCCACTGTGAAGACATTCTTCCAGTCACCTGCTATACCTGTACGGACACGAAGGAAAAAAAAATCTGAGATGTACCCGTCTGTACTGATCTGCTGCTTAGTCATTTGTCACCATTAAAAGTAATTTTCTTCTCTAAAGTAGTGGAAACAAACCTTTGCGCATGGTTTCCGTCTTGTAGTGGTTGGTTTCAACCAAGTCCTTGTAGTTTGCTTTGGGGTTGGTCTTCATGCTTTTGAAGGTGGACATCTCCACAACATGATCAATGGCTTCATCTGTCAGATCTCTTCCCAGGAAAGCACAAAGCTTCACAACTTCCCCTCTGCCAATCCTGCCAATCAAAGATGTGTATACAATATGTGAATATTATTTAACATTGTGTCCAAAACAGAAAGGCCCATAAATCCAAAATCTGCAGGAATCTCTTTGTAAGTCTTTGAACATCACTGATTCTCAGTGGTGTTACCTCATGGCTGCTACTTTCATGCACATTAGTTCATCATTGCTACAGTACTCAACAAATTTATATATTTTTATGAAGGTTAAATGTTCTATAAAAAAATACAACAGTAAAAAGAAGATTCCTAACCTTCAACATGTTCTCATATTGCACAAAATAGATGTTCAATTGTTCTCGTGCTTTGTGATAATCTTGGATGTGATCAAACCAAGATCCCATGTAAACTGTTGGAGAGAAGATTTGTGAGGTTAATGTTTGTTTTCTAAAACCTAACTAAATACTAAATACTCATTTCAAATGTCAACTCCTTGTTGTATCTTAGAATAAAATCAAACGATTAGATGCAAAAACAGAGTTGTGAAACTATTGTGAAATTATTCTGTTTTCTGTTCTGTATTCTTACTCTGATATACTTAAGTAACCCCATAATACTGAACCTACCATCACCATCCAGGAACTGCTGAAAGAAATCCTCAAAGCTCTGAGGTGTTTCCAGCAACACCCAACTGTGGGCAAAGTGATAGAGCGACACCAGGATATCCTTGGGGTTCCTCCAAACATACACAACCTAGAGCAAAAAAACATATATGTATTTTGTGAGTTCGGCTACAGACGGATGCTTAAATCAAAGCTTGAATTGAATTGAATATTGTAAATTGCCTTGATTTGTTTGGCTTTCACTCCCTGAGGTAACATGTCGGGGGGGAGATGCGAGCCAAAGATTCGAGGATCAGGCCTTTCTCTGGAAGGGTTGTCCGCAGTTCTCTCCTCCAGCCAAGGAACTCTTGTCCTGTTGGTAGCATCCTCTGCCAATTCAGGGTGTGCAGCATCCATGATCTGGACCATGATCTGCTGCATCCATGCTGTGCCTGCAGAGTCAAATAAAATATAGGATGTTTTAAATCCACAATACATCCAGTAAACCTTCAGTAGATTATTACTGTGCTAGTTAACATTAATGATGTGCTGACGTATTCTGCTAATGTTAGCTCCACAGGTTTTTACGTAAAGTACACTACAAAGTTTTTAAAAATCTTACACGACTGCATGAGTGTCTATCAAGCAGAACAATTTCCATGCTATGATTGGCCAGTCTGCGCTTGAGGGGCGGAGCTTAGCGAAGGTTGACTTGAGAAAACATGCTTGCCATTCGTTTGAAAATGCTTGAAGGCTCTAGAAACCGACGATAAACCAGCGGAAACGAACTCATCTAATCACTTTTATTTTATAACAATTCATTACAAAAGGTTTGGAAGGTCCTCCTGCAGATAAACACATTTATAATTCACTCTTAGTATGTAATTGGGACCCAGTTTGGGTGTGCTTAATCTGACATTAACTTTCTTCATCTTTAAAACCAAAGTATTGCTGCACGTATTAAGTTTGATATATGTTCCTACTTACACCTCCACAGCAGGTGAACACGTCAAGAGAAGCACTTGAAGGGATCCACTGCTGCCTTTCCTCCACTGAGGAATGAAGACGTGAGCCTTACATTAAACTAGTTATTATATAAGACATGTGCGTGCATTGTGACAAGAAGAACACGTTCTAGCACCAGGTACATGTGGTGGGAAAAGAGTTGACTGATCATATTGAAGCAGTTTCAAACCCTGGTTGAACCCTGTTTTATTGTGTGACTCAGATTTAAATTGTAGCTGCTACCTGCCTCACAATGCTGCTGGCATGGCTGTGGACTCAGATGTCAGATAATTGCACATGCCAATAATGTAGATGTGTGCATGTGCCAGCAGATGATAGGCAAGTATTTGAAATTGTGTTTGTCAGCCTCTAAAATGGCAAAGTAAAAGATACGATGTGTTTTGAAATTTTCCACAGTGGACTGGGGTGGGAGTGGGAAGAGGGTGTGTGTGTCCGGTTGTGGGGGGGGGGGGGGGGGGGGGGGTCCACAGGATATGAAGGGGCTTCAAAGCCCGGGGAAGAGGTCCCTGGCCCCCCACTGCAGCCTTGTTCACATGAGAATCAATCTGGTGCAAGTGTTTGATGTGAGCCGCCGATAAAAGAAAAGAAACAAAGGACAGCGGGGAGATATGGAAAGATGGGGCACGAACGGACAGGGAGATTAATGGGCACGACCGATAGAAAAATGTAGAGGTATGAAGAGTTGCTAGAGGGCTATGCTTCGGATACGGCATCTGAACAAGACCAGACAAGCCAAAGTACAGACATGCAAAGACAAGACATAGATAATTCTATGGAAACACACTAGGGAGGAGAGAGACTGAAAGGCACGCAAACAAAATCAAACCAACTGATTGACAGAAACATGCAAGTAGGAGGACAAAGTGAAGGACGCAGTGTTTCAGTCAGACGCGATCCATCAGTCAGTCAGACGTCGAAGGTTCAAAGCCAGCGTGGTGGACACAAGTGCAGCGTCTCCTCCCACATTCTCCCCGTGATGCCAGGAACTTGCATTAGCATCACAATGTAAACTGCATTATCATCATCGCCCTCACCATCGTCATGAAAGATGAAAATCATATTGAGTTCGGAGCAAAGCCCTCAGATGAAGGATTCACCCGTCTGGAACGTGGAGGTGATCTCTCCGCCTCTCAAAGAGTTGCAAACTCACGGAAAAAACACACTGTTTTCATATCGACACTCAATGCTAACACACTGTGTCAAAGTAAATCAGAAACATCCTTTTTAAATCACATGATCAGAGCCGAGAACTCTCCCCTCCTTTGCTGGTCCATCATCGGTCGTCATGCTCCTCATGGAACAGTGTAGGAATGTTGTTTTATTTGTACTAAGTTGAACAGAAAAGTCAGAGCTCTGTTATCACAGGGACAATGAGAGGCGGAGAAGGCAGCTTTTGGATCTTTTCTTGCTTTTATTTCAGTCAAAACAGGCTCTGACATTGTTGTTCTTTCTGCTAATTAAGCTGTTAGAGAGAGGGGCTGGTCTGACAGGGCCCTGCTTGGCGGGGAGGCAAAGAGTCAATGGGCCGAAGCCGAACAGGAGACATTTATGGGCTGCCTTAAGCCATTGTTTCCCCCCACCGAGGATCTTTTCAGGCCGGCCGCCTCTGTCTCGGTGACCTGTACAATGAGAAGAATGCCACTCCGAGGACCCAGAGCCGGCCACAAAGAGCAGCCCCGCCAAATGAGGATTTCACGGCACTGGGCCGAATCCGGACGCTGCCAAGATTCCACCGATAGTTCTGGCTTCTTCTGATCGTCAGACGATCTGAGTAACAGTGTGTGTGTGTGTGTGTGTGTGTTTATTTTACGGAGGTGGACAAATGCATAATTGAATGTATAGGTTTTGCATATGACAGAGTTCAACAAATGGATAGTGTGGCTGGGGCAAAAAGCTAACTCAAAGCCCAGTTCTTAAACATATTCCATTATAATGAAACGGAGACACACTTCCTGTTAAGGAACTCAGAAGTGCGAAAAGTTTATTATTTTGCATCAAAGTATTTCTCCTCAAAATTATAAAAGTATAAATTTCCAATTAATATGCTGAAAAAATCAGATCGGGGCTTTAATCAATGTTTCCAGAACGGCCTCTCTAAGTTTGTCCAGCAGCAGTTGTTTCAGCCACCTGTTCCTGTTACAGAAGCTGTCACCCAGCCTTGCAGATTAAACAGGTGAGATTAAGGCAAAGCTCTGGGCAGCTTGCAGAACATCCCCTAACACAGGCTACAAACACCCCTTCTGTGACTGTGTTTATGTGTCTGTGTCTATGTGTGTGTGTGTGTGTGTGTGTGTGTGTGTGTGCACGCTCTGGTCCATTTGATGGTCATCCAAGCGCCTCCGTGTGTTTACTTGGACTGCAGATCCTTCCTCTCTTGCAGAGTCACACAGCTCTGTCGCTGGCCTGGAGATGAATTTGTGATCTGCTTAGCTGTTGCAGAAAAATCAAATTGTGGTTTTCTAGTGACTTAAAACGAACCATTTCTGTGTCAACACCACCTGCTTATGTCTTATCAGTGTGCCAGTTTCTACTCCTTTAGCAACTGCCATGTGTTGTCATAATGTAACTCCATTTACCACAAAGTGTTGAACGGCACTTTCAGACGAGCCAGCACCTCGCACAACAAAGCGGCCCAATTATAGAGCCATTTATGTATTTGTCAGGGGCTTCAAATGGGCACTGGTTTCTCAGGGTAGCCATATTGGCGAGGTCAGGCACAGCATCTGAAAAGGCAGCTTTATTACAGAACAAGCCATCCCTCTCTTAGATGAACACCCAAGAAGAAGAAAAAAAAAATGACAAAAAAAAGGAAGAAATAAAAAATGACAACTTTGTTCTTTACAACAGTTTGGCTGAGCCTGCCTGTCTGGCTGCTCTGCGGAGCGCAGCAGCATGTGTTTCAGGGATTGTTCTGGAAGCGGGAGTGCAGAAACAGCAGGGAGCAGAAGACAAACAGGCAATTCGTGACTCATTAAACACGGCGACGGTGGCCAGCACAGTGGAGGGGTGTGAGGACCCGCGTTCCAACCGGGCGATAAACCCCCCCTGTACCAGCTGGAGCAGGCATCTGTCAGCCGCACGCCGCACCACGCCACACCGCCGATTATCAGCAACAAGCCATATACGACTGGCCGGCCACGGCCATTTTCAAACACCCTACACTTACATAACAGCCCTGATTGGCTCACATGGGACCGGTAGGTCCACTGACAGGCCTCACGCTGGAAAGTTGTTGCAGGCCGAACCGTGGAACGAGGCAAAGCATGTCTCTCTCTCTCTCTGTGCTATACCAGAGGTCAACACATGTCATTTTTGTCATTTCGTTATGAGCAGCAGGTTGGCAGTTTGGTTTGGAAGTCCATCTGCTAACAGTGGCCCATAACAACAAAGCAAAGAAAGGACACCAAACCCAGAATAACTACCTGCTCCCAGGACAAGAGTTGAAGTCCAGGTAATTTTGACTTCAAACTTATGGCACATTCAACTGAGAGCTACTTGGCCATTTGTTTGTATCTGACTTTGAAGAACTACAAGAAATTCATATACATGTTTTTATATGCCTTGTTTT